GAGTCTACAAAGACATGACAACTAACTTGTCTATCCAACTATCTTGGATGGCACTCTGGAAAAGATAAAGGAAACTATGTAAAAATTAAGGATATCTGAATAAACTATGGACTATGGTTAATAATGTATCAATATTGGTTCACTAATTTTAACAAATGTGCCATACTATTTAACACCTTAAGTGTGTGTGTGTTGTGTGTGTGGGGGGGTAGGTGATATGGGAACTTGTACCGTCTGTACTTGTATCTTGTATGATCTGCTCAATTTTCCTGTAAATATAAAACTGTTCTGAAAATTACATTCTATTAGTTTAAAAAATAAAACATGGGAAAAAAGTCCTGACAGCCAAAAAGTAGAAACTCAAAATGTCCATCGGCTGATGAATGAACAAAATGTGGTATATAGATTTTTGTTCAGGAACAAAAAGATACGAAGGGTTGATACATACATACTACACCACAAGGATGAATCTTGAAAACATGGTGGTGAAAGAGTCCGAGTAGGCCAGTTATAGGAACAGAAAGTAGATCAGCAGTTGCTGGGGGCTAGGAGCAGGGACTAACTGCTGATCTGATGGACAGATAGTTTCTTTGCGGAGTGAGGAAGATGTTCTGGAAAGAGATAGTGGTGCTAGTACTTGCTGCTACCTGTGGATATACTAAAGCCATGAATTGTACACTTTAAGAAGGTTAAGTTTAGGGATGCTTGGGTGTCTGCCTTTGGCTCAGGTCCAGATCCCAGGGGCTCCAAGGATAGAGCCGCCCCGCATCGGGCTCCCTGCTCACGGGGAAGGGGGGTCAGCTTCTCCCTCTCCTTCTGCCATTCCCACCCTTCACTTGTGCTGTCTCTCTCAAATAATTAAAATCTAAAAAAAATAAAAATAAAAATAACAACATAAAATATAGTACAAAATATAAATTAAAACAGTGGGATGCCATTCCACCCAGACCAGCAAAGATGAAGTGTGTTAACTAGGTTTGGAAAAATGGGTACTTTCATACCCCGCTGTATAAATGCAAAAAGTTACAGCCATTTGGAAGAGCAGTTTATCAGTTCTATTAAGCATTTCACATGTGCACATGCCGGAAGCTAGTGAATCCGCCCAAACCTCTCTATTCTTTTTTTTTTTTTTAAGATTTTTATTTATTTATTCATGAGAGTCACACAGAGGCAGAGACACAGGCAGAGGGAGAAGCAGGTTCCATGCAGGGAGCCTGATGAGGGACTCCAGGATCACGGCCTGGGCCAAAGGCAGGCGCTAAACCACTGAGCCACCCAGGGATCCCTGAATCTCTGTATTCTAGAGAAACATTCTCACCTGACAACAGAGAGACACGCTGCACAATGATGTTCACTGCAGCACTGTTTGCAGTTTCGAAGGCAGGAAAGGACTGGTTCATCTGCCACAAGATCACAAACCACAGGACTTCTCCAGCTTCAACCCTTCAGCCACTTCCCAGGGCATTCAGAATAAAGCACATGTTGGCTGCTCCACAGGGAGCAACGAGGCTGGCCCTAGCTCACAAGTCCAACTGCACCTCATACCCTGGCTTTCCACCCTCTGTGGCCCTGGCCTCCTGCCTGGTCTTGCATGGCGCTGTGTGGACTCCCACCTCAGAGGCTGTTCTACTGCTTGCTCCCCCTGTGTGGAACCTTCTTCCCTTCCAATGTACATCTCCTTTCAGCTCCATTCTCAACCCAGAAACCATCTCTTCTCTGGGAAGCTTTTGAACCACGCCCAGTCCTTTTATCAGCCTTCTTATTTTCCTCGTATTTTCTAATTTATTTATATCCTTCCACCAAAATGTAAACAGTGTAAGAACCTGGCCCTCATCTGTCCTGTGCAGCATCAGTCTAGCACTCACATGTGGGTGACTGGAAGCTCTCAATAAATGATTTTTTAAATGAATGTATTCTATGCTATACAATGAATTTCTGTGCAGCAATTACAGAATAAGACCTATTATATGCACTGCCACAGAAAAATCTAACACTAATAATTGAGTTTAGAAAAAGAAAAAAAAAAAAAAAAGCCAAGCTGCCGGAGTGCTTGGTGGCTCAGTTGGTTGAGTGGCTGGCTCTTGATTTCAGCTCAGGTCATGACATCATGGTCCAGGGATCAAATCCTGCGTAAGGCTCTGCCCTGAGTTTGGAGTCTGCTTCTCCCTCTCCCTCTGCTCCTCCCCTCTCTCCCAGGTGCACATGCACTCACACTCTCACTTTCTCTGTAAAATAAATAAATGAAAATTTTAAAAGCAAACTGCATTGTAATATATAAAGAATGATATTTTATCTAAAACACACACATTAGGGATCCCTGGGTGGCACAGCGGTTTGGCGCCTGCCTTTGGCCCAGGGCGCGATCCTGGAGACCAGGATCGAATCCCACGTCGGGCTCCCGGTGCATGGAGCCTGCTTCTCCTTCTGCCTATGTCTCTGCCTCTTTCTCTTTCTCTCTCTCTCTCTGTGTGACTATCATAAATAAATAAAAATTAAAAAAAATAAAAAATAAATAAAACACACACATTATAAAAATAAGACCCTTCCTTAAGGATATATTTATGGCAAGCTCCTCAATCTCCTGAAGCAGCAGCTTAAATTATGACTGTAATCACTGAAAATAATTCACTTTGGATGACAGTGTAAGCCATGTGTGTGTAAGTGAAAAGAAACACGTAAAAGGGCAGACATGAAGCTGACAACATTGCTTACCCCCAAGGAGTGACAGTGACAGAAGGAGAAAGGTCAGGGGAGACTTCATCTGCAACATTTGCATTTTTACAACACAAATGTATTCAGTCAATACTTACGTAATAAAAAATATTTAAAGATTAATACATTTTAAAGAAAAGACAAGTATTTGTGAGTTTGATAAAGACAGACTTTAAGGGTATAGATTAATATTACTTCAGGCATTTCTCCCACAACAGGACAATTAAAGTAAGCTTTTTTCATGGCCTAGAACAGATGAATCTAGATTCTTATTATTTGCCAAAGAACATTATGGAGTATTAGTGTAGCAACATTAACTATAAACAAATCAAATTTAAATTGTTAGAAAAAGGAAAAATTTATTCAGGCTCTGCTGTGTGCCAGGGGCTGAGCTGGGTGTGTCAGAAACCTATTCAATCCTCACAACCTTGAATGATTGATATTATCACCGCCCACCTTATAAATACAGAAACCAATCTCAAGAAAACACTTTGCCCAAGATTACTCAGCCAAGAAGCAAAAGAACTGCAATTAAACTAAAAAATCAGCTGAGTTTCTATTGGGCAATCTGCTGCCACCTTAAGTAAGCTTATTCTCTCAACCATGAATTTAAGAGAATGGATTCAGGAGGCAAATGGATAAATATAGAGAACTTTTATAAAAAAGGGACAGAGTGCAGGGAAAGAGACAGATAATCTTTTTATTTTTAAAGATTATATTTATTCATTGAGAGAGAGAGAGGGAGAGAGCCTGAGTGGGAGGAGCAGAGGGGGAGAGAGAAGCAGACTCCCCACTGAGCATAGAGCCCAACATGGGCCTCCATCCCAGGACCCTGGGATCATGACCTGAGCCAAAGGCAGAGGCTTAACCACTGAGCCACCCAGGTGCCCTGAAAGACAGATAATCTAATCAGTCGGCCTGTCTCCAAACAATGGAACCATTCAAGGTACAGAGATAGAACTCTTAAAATTCTGGGGAAAAAATATTCCAAAACATTTCGATAGCCTGATATTTAATGATCATTAGTTTGGGAAAGTTCATCTTTAAATCCCATCTCATGCTTTTCTCTTACAATCTGAATACAGTTACAGTGACCTGGCCTTTAGCAGGAATAGGAAGTAAGTAAGCCACACTTATACACCCACGACTGATACAAAGATGGTTAAATATTCCTAAATTATTTGCAGTTATGTCTGAAATTTTGCACCTCATCTTTTTGCTTATGTTGAAAATTAAAAGTTCAAAGAAATCAAGATGAATATTTTATCAATAGCAAATTCTACTTAACGTTAAAAGCTCTCAAATTGGAATCATCTAAATATATTACCAAGTAAATGGCTGAAGTTCCATTAATCTACCAGCTTAGAATTGACTAAGAATAAGAGATAGCTTTAATTTTTTAACTCAGATTTCTTTCACTTTTAAGTCTCTAGCCACAAGACTTCAAATTCATTTAACAAAAAGAGTGATGGTATTTGTTTTTAAATAGTTTTTGTTGGGCAGCCCTGGTGACTCAGCGGTTTAGCGCCTGCCTTTAGCCGGGGGTGTGATCCTGGAGACCTGGGATCGAGTCCCACATCGGGCTCCTTGCATGGAGCCTGCTTCTCCCTCTGCCTGTGTTTCTGCCTCTCTCTCTCTCTGTCTCTAATAAATAAATAAGTAAAATCTTAAAAAAAAAAAAAAGTTTTTGTTAATAACAGTAAAAAATCATACCTATACCATCAGTATAAGTGTTGTTCTAAGGGAAAAAGTTACAGTGTGAAAGTAAGTTTTATCATCAAGATTATAGGGATGCCTGGGTGGCTCAGTGGTTGAGCATCTGCCTTTAGCTCAGGGCCTGATCCTGGAGTCCCAGGATTGAATCCCACATCAGGCTCTCTGCATAGAGCCTGCTTCTCCCTCTGCCTATGTCTCTGTCTCTCTCTTTCTGTGTCTCCCATGAATAAATAAAAATCTTAAAAAAAAAAAAAGATTATAAATAACTTCCATGGGTGAAAAGTTTAGCATATGGAAGTCCCAAAGTAATTCTGACAAATATTTTTGTGAAATATCTATTAAACAAAAACAAAAACAACAAAACTCTGGGTGTCTGGGGTGGCTCAGTGGGTTGAGTGTCTGTCTCTTGATTCTGGCTCAGGTCATGATCTCAGGGTTGTGGGATCAAGCCCTAGGTCAGGCTCTGTGTGAAGCATGGAGCCTGTTTAGGATTCTCTCCTTCCCCCACATGCACACCTCCCACATACTCTCAAACAAACAAACAAACAACAAAAAAAAAAACCAAAAAGCAATTCAGAGGACATTAATTTTATTGTATGAATGTCAAATGTTTGAAGTACTTACATCTTATGTGTTCCATAAAATAAACACTATTTTAAAGTACAATGGAATCCACAGCAGAAGAAATACATAGAAGAAATGCTTGAAATACACTCAGTAGGAAACTTACTCCTGATTTATCACCTAATTTCTGTGATGCTTCTAATGTTATAGGCAAACTTGATCTTCTTTGAAATGTGTTGTCCACCGCTTCTCTGCTTCAGTCACAGTAGCTACAAACAGTTGTCTTAGGATCTCCTTATCTAAATTCCTGCCTGCAAACAGAATAAACATGGTGTGATTATATTATGCTTATTAAAGATGACAGTTTGCCTATCAATTCCAAATCATTAACGGCTTGATAATCTTCAGAAATTTACACAAGCTAAATAATTAGTGATTCCTTCCCTTAACTTCCTACTTCTAGGTAAGTCCCTAGAACCAAATTGGCATTTTAATTACTTTCCTAAATTTGAAGAACAAAACCTCTAACAAGTTCTAATGAGTATTATCACATCATGAAGACAAATACATTCACCACAGGCTTAGTTAGGTTGACAAAGGGGTTGAGATTGGTTAATACTGGTTAAGTACCATATTATATCACTTTCAAATATACGTTTTACTTCGCTTTAGAAATTTAACTGTCACTTACCAATAAGAACCAATCGATTTGTTCTCTCAGTGTCATCTTTCCAGCTCAGTGGAGTCTCCTCCAGATCATAGAGCTCGTGGACACCCTGGACAATCACCTGCTTTGCTTTGTCTTTGATCGACACCAGCCCCTGCTCACAGGAGAGGGATCAATCAGCCTCAGTTCAAATTTAAAGCAGAAACTGAGCATCAGTGTTATGGATTATTCCTATTCCATTTTAAAGACAAACCCATGAAGATGCTGTTAAAATTACTTGAATCCAGTTATTTGTGCATTATAGAAACAGTTTCTTAAAGCTTCCAACTTTTATTTTTTATTGATTTATCTGAGACAATGAGAGAGAGCAAGAGAAAGAGCATGAGCAGGGGGAGCAGCAGAGGGAGGGGGAGAAGCAGACTCCCCACCAAGCAGGGAGCCCAATGCAGGGCTCCATCCCAGGACCCTGAGATGATGACCTGAACTGGAGGCAGCCGCTTAACAAACTGAGCCACCCAGGTGCACCTAAAACCTCCAATATTGTTAAAAAAAAAAAAAGTGCAAAAATCCTTTTTTCTAATGATAAAATTAATATGTTAGGCTGTCCTTTCAGCATTACAATAAAAAACTGAAACAACCAAATGATAAAATATGCATTTAATTCCTTTTTTTAAAAAAGATTTTATTTATTTATTCATGAGAGACACATACAGAGAGAGAAAGAGAGAGAGAGAGGCAGAGACACAGGCAGAGGGAGAAGCAGGCTCCTTATAGGGAGCCCCACGTGGGACTCGATCCCAGGTCTCCAGGATCACGCCCTGGGCTGAAAGCAGCGCTAAACTGCTAAGCCACCAGGGCTGCCCAAATATGAATCTAATTCTATTGATTTATTGATTTTTCTAAGGATTTTATCCTTGTTTCACAGTTTTAGTGGGAAAATTTGAGGTATTAAAGGACTCGGGTGATAATTTTGACTGGGTTGCAATGAGCAGTGCAGGGAATGACGGTATAAAGGAAAGGAAACAATCTGGATAAAGTTTCATTTTTTTAATTGATGTGCCAAAATGAGAAATGAATTATTTCATATAAACTGGTCCCTCAGAGGAGAAAATTTCTCTAAAATAATGTTTATCATATTTGTTATAAAATTAATATAGAGGGAATCCCTGGGTGGCTCAGAGGTTTGGTGCCTGCCTTCAGCCCAGGGTGTGATCCTAGAGTCCCGGGATTGAGTCCCGCATCGGGCTCCCTGCATGGAGCCTGCTTCTTCCACTGCCTGTGTCTCTGCCTCTCTCCCTCTGTGTCTGTCCTGAATAAATAAATAAATAAATAAAATAAAATAAAATTAATATAGACATTGCAAAAACAGTAAGAGACAAATGACTCATAGTCACTCCTGCCACATAACCATGTATTTTAGGTATATGTTCTTCCTGTTTTCCTTTGCCCACTTCTGTTTTCTTTTTTTTTCTAGTTTTACTGATAAAATTGACATACAGCATTGTATTAGAGTGTACAGTATGATTTGATTTCTGCTTTTAAAATCTGAATATGTAATAACTCCTCAGAAAGAATGATCTAAACATCAATTTTCTATTACTTGTATAAAGACTTGGAAGTGTTAGCTATTACCTGAGTGAACATTTTAAACATGTTTATCATTATCACACTAACATTTTGTAGCCAGAAAAGAAGGAAGTCTATAAAGGTGAAGGCTGTGTTGCCCCAGATCTCCCAGTGTTGTTGTGATAGAGGAAGGCCAAGGGAAGAACCAAGGACAGACGACTGCAGACAAACTGTCACGCTGGGATGGTGCAGGAGGAACCATTGAACTCTGTGTGGAGGACTTCGTGGTAGCATTCATATAAATGCCCAAAGGGCTGCTTTTGTACTGAGTACCCCATTCAATAGCAGGAGATAAAAGCAGTTACAGAATGAAATACAATCTCTCAGTTTAGGATCATGGGATGTGGATGGTGCTCCAGTCATTAAAGCAGCAGCAGGATCACACTTAGTTCCTCTGGGTGGGAATGACCTGTGAACAGACTGAGTGTCACCCACGTCGCTCTGAACAGGATCCCAGGCAGAGCCAGCACAGGAAGTAAAGAAATCTAAACCTGGATGGCTTCTCAACAGTCTCTTTGTCATTCTATGACCCCCGTGAGTTAGCTGCTAACTGGAAAATCCCGTTACTAATAGTAATAACAACAAATAGTAAGAATAAAAACTTCATGCATACTTCGAGAAACGAGAGTAGACAAATGACTACTGATCGGTTAAGCACACAACTAGAACCATTGCCCCCTGAAAAAAACTTTCCGTGACATAAATACCCAAACACCAAGTAACACGAATGGGTTTCCAAACACAGAGCAAGAATTCCAGTCTTTTCTAACTCTGTTTATAGTATGATAACTGTTTAGTGTCTGCTAAATGCACCAAGCAACACAGATTTAGCTGCAGCAAGATTTCTGATGTTATTTCTCTGTTAATGAAGCTCTCTTGGAAAATTAAATGAAAAAATATTCAAAGGGCGCCTGGGTGGCTCAGTTGGTTAACTGTCTGACTCTTGATTTCAGCTCAGGTCATGATCTCAGGGTCGTGAGACTGAGCCCCACATGGGGCTCACACTGGGGACAGAACCTGCTTAAAATTCTGTCTCCTTCCCACTCTCTCCCCACTGTTCCCTAACAACAACAACAAAGATGTTCATTCAGTTTTCTCTAACTGACCATGCTACATGCCAAGGAGAGGAGTTCCAGCGAGTCAAGCTCATCAGCCAGATAGCTGCTCAGAACACTTGGGAGGAGAAAACAGGAGGTGATGTTTCAAAGCACACAGGTTGTTTTAGCTGCAACACTAAATGAAGCTATGCAAATAAACCACGCTTTATGCAGTGATTTTCAAAGCTTCTTTTCAGCAATGGAAAGAAGAAAAAATGAAAACAAACAAAAGTTATTTGTTCTAAAACCAGTGCTTGTGTTTAAATACAGTTTAACAGTCAAGAAAGGAAAGGGCCTTTGTCCAAAAGTATAAAGGTAGAGACTGAACACTGTACCTTTAGCCGTATGACCTCCATGCAGTCATCATCCTTGTTTCTTACATTCTTCTCCCACAGAAGATTCTGCATCAAGTGACATATTTTAGTAAGACTAACCATTGCTGCCAGCAACCACCATGTAACACAACAGGTGGCAAATCATTATCAGTTAAATAGTGCATTCACCTGAATAAATACATTCAGACTTTCTTCCTTTGCATTTCCTGGTACTTCAAATGTCACCGTAATAATGCTCTAGAAATCAAGAGATAATCAATCATGATTTTTTTAAAATAGTAATGTTGATATATTTTATAGCAATGTTGGTACATTTTAAGACAAAAGTAAGGAATACATTCATGAACATGTATGCTGCCTAACAACTATAGTGGGTCTATCTTTTTCACTATCTCGCTGAGTTCTAGTGGCAGTAATTCCATTTTTAGTATTCTGCAGAGGTGATCAGTGGGTTCATATTTAAACAGAGAAACTTTTATGAAAGGATATTCATGGTTTAATTCATTCCTTCCAGGACTCTCAGCACTAAGTGGGAAGGTAGTATCTACAGTGTACTTGACTATCTACCAAGCCAGATACTATTGTCTGGGTCACTTCATCTTTTCATTTACTCTGTGACAACAATCCTGTGGAATAAAGAGAATTACTTTCTTTTTATAAATTGGGGGGGAATAAGGCTCAGAAAAATTAAACTACTTAGAGCTGGGAGTAAAACTCAAAAACAAAAGTATAATTCTGTTCTCTGGAAAAAATACAAAGGAAAAATTCAGCTTATCTCTGACCGAGCATGTGCCAAAGGGAAAAAGAGTATCTGGAGATGAGAATAAGAGTAGAATGTCAACTTTGGTTTGAGAAGGTTGACATCATTTAGAATGTTAACGCTGAGATCTATTTTTCCTCCTGCTCCTGATAAATATCTCACTGTCCACTCTAAGGAACCAGAAGCTCAAAATTTCCTGTAGCTGGTCACATAACTAAAATCCAAAGCTCCATTTGTTCCTGTAACCAAAATTTCAACTTAATGATAAAAATACACAAGGGCTAAACATAAAATGATGATAACACAACCCCCCCCCCCTTTAGGAGAAGATGCTCAAGCCAAGCTTTAGAACAGGAAGGAGAAACATAGTAAAGCACGGCTTTCAATAATTTCCTAAAACTTCATATATTAACACGAACAGAAAAACACAAGGCTTTTTTTTTTTTTTTTAAGATTTCATTTATTTATTCATGAGAGACACACAGAGAGAGGCAGACATAGGCAGAGGGAGAAGCAGGCTCCCTGCAGGGAGCCTGATGCAGGACTCGATCCCAGGACCCTGGGATCGTGCCCTGATCCTCAACTACTGAGTCACTCAGGTGCCCCAGCAGACAGGCTTAAAGCAGAAAATAGGAAAAGACCAAGTTGTTTTTTATCCAAACATATAGGACTGGAAAAGGTCAGTACTAAAGACCAATCTAAGGACAAAATATACTGACATTTAGTCTCCACTGTTGCTAGCAACAGGAAAAGCAGAAAGCACTTTCTTGTGAGACATGAAATCCAACTAAAATCGACTTTAAAATGTCAGCTTTTTAAAAGTACTTATTTTGTCACCATAGCCAAGAGATGGAAACAATATAACACTAACAGACGGATAAAGACAATGTAGTATAATAGTTTGGTACTAACATGTGGCATATTAATGAACCATTATTCATCTTAAAGAAAAGGAAATTCTGCCCATGTGCCACAAACATGGATGAGCCTTGAGGACACCATGCTAAGTGATGTAAGCCAGTCATAGAAGGACAAATACTGCATGATTCCACTTAAGCGAGGTATCTATATGGTCAAACTTACAGAAGTAAAAAGTAGAAGGGTGGTTGCCAGGGTTAGGTGGTGAGGGAAATGGGGAGCTGCTGTCCAATGAACACAGTTTCAGTCATGCAAGATGAAAAAGTCCTAGAGATCTGCTGTACAAGACTATGCAGAGAGTATCAGCTAATGATACCGTATTTAAACATTTATCAAGAGCAGGGATCCGGGCAGCCCAGGTGGCTCAGCGGTTTAACACCGCCTTCAGCCCAGGGCCTGATCCTGGAGACTTGGGATTGAGTTCCATGTTGGGCTCCCTGCATGGAGCCTGCTTCTCCCTCTGCCTGTGTCTCTGCCTCCTCTCTCTCGCTGTGTGTGTGTCTCATGAATAAATAAAATCTTTAAAAAAAAAATTATCAAGAGGGTAGGTCACATGTGTTTGCCATAATCTTTTTTTTAAAGATTTTATTTATTTATTAGAGACACACAAAGAGAGAGAGAGAGAGAGAGAGAGAGACAGAGACATAGGCAGGCAGAGACATAGGCAGAGGGAGAAGCAGGCTCCATGCAGGGAGCCCGACGTGGGACTCAATCCCGGGTCTCCAGGATCACGCCCTGGGCTGAAGGCGGCACTAAACCACTAAGCCACGGGGCTGCCCGCCATAATTTTTTTAAAGCACTTATTTTTAAAGCTAAATAAACACACTCTGCTTTTAAACTATTTGTTTTATAAGTTTAATAGTATGCATTTAAATAGTTTTCTTTCCCTCTTAAAGCAGTCACTACAAATACCTAAAAGTCCATATCAAAATGTATAGCAATTATATAACATATCAAAATATATAGTAAAACACCCATAATTTGTCATTTTCAAAAGACCATAGCAATTCAACCTTTCAAACTGCTTAAAATGGGCAACCTAGGTGGCTTAGTGGTTTAGCGACACCTTTGGCCTGGGTGGTGATCCTGGGACCTGGGATAGAGTCCCACGTCAGGCTCCCTGCATGGGGCCTGCTTCTCCCTCTGCCTGTGTCTGTGCCTCTCTCTCTGTGTCTCTCATGAATAAATAAATAAAACCTTAAAAAAACTGCTTAAAATGTATTTTATTCAGTTGGATAACTTGGGTTTTAATATTGGAATGGTCTCAACATGGAACTCAATACTGCTTTATCCTAGCTTAAAGAATTCTTACTGGGAATGTCATTGCTTTTGGCAGGTTAGAGATATGACAATATTTCTAAGGGGTACAATTAACTCCAGTATGAGATTAAATGGGTTTTAAAAATCATGACAATGCATCAGGGGGCTCAAGGAGTGAGATACACATTTTAGAACTAGATGTTTTTCTGCACCAATACACTCTTCACACCGTAGACAAACCTTAAAGATGAAATCTGCAAACTCCCAGTGCAGAGGATGAGGGTCACAACTCATAATTCCTAATTTAATAAACTATGCACAGACTGCCATTTGAGTTTTTTCACCTTCTCACCCTCCAACCCTGGGTCCTCCTTATAGGAAGGAACAAGGAGTCCATGAAAGCTAGAGAGCTGCATTACAGAGGATTCAGGAATAAAACTTTAATAACATACCTACTATATCTTAGGTATTACCCATATCAGAATTTTTCCCAGTTGTTTTGAATCTAAAATTAACTCTCCTTTCCCCAGACACAGGAAGAAGCAAAATACCAAAGCAATCAGTCAGAAAATAAAATAAGGTACTACCCCTAAAATAAAATTTAGGAATAACTCCAAACTTTTAGTTTTCTTGTTTTTTTTTTTTTCTAATCTCCCAGGATATTTCCCTTGGTGTCCTACTCTTTGGCAAACAATATCTAACATGCAACAACTTCTGCCTATTTTCTTTCTCTGGAAGTAACATGTTCAACCCCAAATGTGAAACTCTACATGGTTCATTTCTACTGTGATACTCTGCTACCAAGTATGAAGCTGAAAGTCTGGTATCCTTCTCCAAATCAATGTGCCTTCCAGGTTTCTCTAGGCCTCGGCCTCTCCAGCCAAGCAGGCTTGTTTCCCAGCACTTCTCCCATCTTTCTGCCCCAGCATCAGTCAGTAAGGCTATTCAGGCAAGTCTACCTGTGAATCAGCCCTTGATTTATCCCATTTCTATTCCCCCTGTGACCCACACAGTGCAGGCTCTTGTCACAGGGCATCCTCCTGCTTGGTCTCCTGATGTCAGCTCCAATCCGGCTTACCTGACACTGTGGGACAGCACAGCATGAATTCTGCTTGCCCCACGCACATCAGCACATCAAAGACCAACACCTGAGCTTAGGATTCAAATACTAAACATCCACCAAGATTTCTACACAAGGGTCCTCTTGTAGAGCATTCTCACTTTTCCAATTTCAAAAATTTGGATTTCTCTTTCCTTTCTTCCAAACAAAAACCTCCTGGTCTAAGGCTATGTTTTGATGTTTTACTCAGAATAGCAGTTGCATCTTTGCAAAGAGTGCTGCTAATTGGAAAGAGACACAAGAGAACTCCCTTAACAATTGTGGAAATCTGTATCTCCATCTAAGAGGGAATTACAGACATAGGTGTTCATGCGTGCAGATGGACTGATACACAGGCACAAATATATGTAAAGACACACTGACTTGTATGCTAAAAACTTGTAAGCTTTACTGTACGTTAAAAATAAATAAATAAAACCAACTATCTTTCATAAAGTCTCAGACTCACTAAACCAAAGAAGACCATCATTCCCCTGAAACCCACAGTCCTTTGTCTGCAGTATTATATTCCGCCCTTTCTTATTGATCTAAAGCAGGAGAGTGCATCGGAATCTCCTGCAGAGTCTTAAAAAAAAAAAAAAAAAGACATGCCCTATATACTGGTGAAATAACACACTGTCTGGGGTTTAATAAACTCCAGCAAGAGCAAGGGCACTTGCACTTTTATTATACTATTCTACTTTTATGTATATTTGAAATTTTCTGTTTAAAAAGTACTCCACCAGAAGAAATGTGGAGCAGAGGAAATAAAATCAGCAAAAAGCTGACAGCCACTGCAACTAGGTTCCTTTTGCTATTCTCTATACTTTTGTATATCTTTGGAAATTTCTGTAATAAAATGTTAAAAATGTACATACATTTTAATTTGCACATACCCAGGCCCCACTCCAGCATATATGACAGGTGGGGACTACTGAGAGCATCCAATATATATCTTTTTTTAAAGATCCACAAGTGACTCTGATGTTCCCCATTTGAGAATCACAGCTTTTCATTCTTAGAACAAATTTTCACTGAGCAGCACCACACACCATGCCCTGTGCTAAGCACTGAGGAATCCACACTTAAGGAGTACACAGATTACTACAAGGAAAAAAGCAATTCAACCCAAACTACAAGGCATTATCAATGACATGACAGGGTATGTGCAGGATACCACAGGTATGGACACTAGCAATTATAAAGATTCTTGAAACAGACTTCTACATTCCTCATCTTTTACACCTATGACTCCTAGTGTGATGTCCCTCACCTGGAAAGTCAGTAAGAATACGTTTCTGGTTCATCTTTAGGACTACTGCTGAGTAAACTGTTGGTTTTTCCCAAAAATTCTACCACCAGAGAATTGTATTTCTCTCATTCACTCATTTTAAGAATTCCAAAGATGAATATTTTATTAAGTTTCTGAGAGGAAGAGTGGCACAAACACGGTAGTTTAGGTCCTTATAAATACGAGCCAGAATGAAGACAAACAAAAAAGTGGCCCCATCATAAAAAGTAATCCTTCAAAGACTGAGTGATGGTTTACAGAGGAGGGAAGACCAGACACCACTCACTCACAGGCCTCCTTGCTCTCACCATGTTTAAATGGAAGAAGTTACCTGAAACCTCCACCATCTATGACTTGCTTAAAAGAAAGACGAGTACAGTGAAAACATGTTTTTTTTTTTTGTTTGTTCCTAGTAGCTTCAATATTACCTCAGGGAGTACAGTTTGAGAGCTCCTAAATGAAGGGCACCTGAGGGAGTCAGGTTTTCAGTGCTAGCTGCAGGTGAAACTCAAAGTCAATTTTTATTTAAGCAGTAGATGCTTTTACCAGACTTTCCCTTAATCTGTTAGTTCAACATAGTTAAAAATAGGCTGCATATAGAACTCCCAGGCTGCTTTTAAGCGGTGATTTCTCACCACAAGAACTGATCAACTCTGCTGAATGACTTGTTGAATGGAGAAGCTAGCAAGCATGATTTCTTAAGATTCTAAAAAACTCTGGTTTGATGAATTCCTGTTAGACTTTAAGAAGCTAAATGAGATTACCTCAAAAGCACTCAAATTCTAAAAATTTGCAACACAGTTCAAAAATATTTTTTTAGCAAGTTTCAAATAAAACAATGCTAAAAGAACCAATTTATTTTTTTAAATGCTTAAAATTCTTTAAAGATGTTTTTTACCTGATCAAGGTGAGGCTGTGTTGTTGGCACATGCTGAAGTTTTTTCTGCAAACTAAAAACAACTGATTATAAATTCAGAGATCAATATACTTCCGATTTAACCTTCTACGTTACTTAGAATACAGAGCTACATAAAAGAAGAGAGTTTCCACAACTCAATTATACAGTTCCAATTTTACATACTGTTTACGTATTCTAATAGCAAAAAACTAGCAGATTGTTTAAAGATTTTTCCTGATGATGTGTACACATTTAACAAACACGCAAGAATATTGGTGGTTGCCAGAGGGGAGGTGGATGGGGCATGGGAGAAGTGAAGGGGACTAAGATGTACAAACTTCCAGTTACAAAATAAATAAATCAAAGATGAAAAGCAGAGAATATAGTCAATAATAGTGTAGTAACATTGTATGGTGACCACATTTACGGAAGTGAGCACTCAGTAAGATACAGAATTCTCAATTCACTATGTTGTACATCTGAAAATAAAACATTGTATGTTACACTTCAATAAAAATGTACATAAGTTCACATGCATAATATACACACAATACAGAAAAAACTAATCTTCAGCAACATGATTTTGTGTGGTTAAATATGTCAGCACGTTTCTTTTCAATTCCAACAGATCTATTACTGGTCTAGAAAAATACACATACAAATTTCCTCAACATGCCCCATGCTTCCTAATGCGAAAATAATGCTAGTACCTAAAGAAAGTTAGAAGAGTGTATTTTTTCCTTTATCAATGTTTTCCCTTAAACATATCTACTTATTAGGAAATAAGTAGTATCCACAAATATAAGTTTCGGGTCAGGTGCCAGTGAGAGAAAACAAAAAGAATCTTAAAAATGTACTGTTTTGATATGAAAAAGAACAAGAAGATCAATACGGCACAAGTTATACCCTTAACAACTTTAGCACACATTTGGACACTGATGGTGGTAAAGGCTGAGAGGAGGAAAAGGACTTAAAACCTTGCAGATGTTTTGCTTTGCAGAACAGTGAGGGGTAAATTAGTAACAGGGAGTTTAGAAAAGAGAAGAGGATTGTAGGAACTGCTGGAGGGAAATGAGCCTCACTGGAGGGGGTCTTAGTAGAGAAAGTGTCAAATTAAATCCTTCCCAGCTGGTTGCTCAGGAAAGGATTCTCCATTTTAGCAACTGAGCACAATGAAAAGTTATGCACAGGCCTGAGCCAGAGAGGGCATCACATAAGTAGATACTTCTTTAAGTGTCACCAATGCATTATCACTGTTTTTAAGCAAGTGTGGGATGAGATTATCTTAGAAAATGTTTGAAAAATCACACACTCTCTCATGTTCAATATTTAATGTTGTTAAAAATAACTGCCAACAACTTGTGCAAGGAAGGAAAGTTTTCTTCAACCCTCTTAGATGCCTGGCTGGGTGTGAAAATCAGAATGATTAACAGGAGAAAAGTGGGGATCCCTGGGTGGTGCAGCGGTTTGGCACCTGCCTTTGGCCCAGGGCGCGATCCTGGAGACCTGGGATCGAATCCCATGTTGGGCTCCCGGTGCATGGAGCCTGCTTCTCCCTCTGCCTGTGTCTCTGCCTCTCTCTCTCTCTCTCTCTCTGTGACTATCATTCATTCATTCATAAATGAATGAATGAATAAATAAATAAATAAAACAGGAGAAAAGTGTACAAGTTTATTAAGTTTTTTAAAAAATATATTATTTTAGAGAGAGAAAGAGAGAACGTGCAGGGGAGAGGAGCAAAGGGAGAGGGAGAGAGAATCCCAAGTGGACTCTCGGCTGAGTGCCCAGCATGGAGCCCAACACAGGGCTGAATCCCAGGACCCTGAGGTCATGATCTGAACCAAAACAAGAGTCAGACACTTAACCGACTGAGGCAGTCAGATACCCCTATTAATGTAAATTTTATGTCACAAAGAAGCCTTCATAAAGAAATGAAAAACCAAATAAATGGTTAAACCTGAGTGTTTTTATGCTACATTTGATGAAGAGTGGAAGGCTGAGGAAAGATGCAAGGGGGCAGAATATGAAACAAGTGTTAAACTGGGGGATATTCAGAGAGACCAGTATTTTCAGATTCCTCTGTGAGTACTTTAGTCTTTAGAGATAAGGATGTTCCTTTCCTCTGGGCACAGGGAGGGTACTCTCACGTGAGGCTTTTGTGAGTCAACTACTTCAGAAGAAATGGGAGAAAATATTTCCAAATCACATATCTGGTAAGGTGTAATACCTAGAATATATATATATATAAAACTCCTCCAGCTCATCCCAAAACAACAAACCACCTGATTAAAAAATGGATGCAGTATTTGCATAGACATTTCTCCAAAGATGATGATCTACAAATGGCCACTAAGCATATGAAAAGATGCTCCTGATCTCTAACCATTAGAAAAATGCAAAGCATAACCACAATGAGCTGCCACCTCACACTCAGGAGGACGGCTACTACCAAAACCAACTGGAAATACCGAGTGTTGGCCAGGCCTTGGAGAAACTGGAACCCCGTACGCTGCTGGTGGCAAGTTCAAATGGTGCAGCTGTTGTGAATAATAGTATGGCATGCCTCAAATATTAAAAATACATGAAAGCAGAAATCTCAAAGAGACATTTGCACACCCACGTCACAGCAACAGCCAAGAGGTGGAAGCAACCCAAATGTTCACCAATGGATGGATGGATAAAGAAAATGTGGTACATACATACAATGGGATTTTCTTTCTTTCTTTCTTTCTTTCTTTCTTTCTTTCTTTCTTTCTTTCTTATTTATTTAGATTTTTTTTCAATGGGATATTATTTAGCATTAAAGGAAAGAAATCCTGTCACATGCTCCAACATGAACCTTGAGGATTAAGTGAAATAAGCCAGTTACAATATAACAAATGCCATAACTTTCACTGGTATAAGGAATCTAGATTCTTTTTTTTAAAAAAATTATTTATTTGACAAAGAGAGCAAGAGAGAACACAAGTGGTGGGGAGGAGCAGAGGGAGAAGGAGAAGCAGACTCCCTGCTGAAAGGGGAGCCCAACACAGGGTTTGATCCCAGAACCCTGAGATCATGACCTGAGTTGAAGGCAGCTGCTTAACTGACTGAGCCACCCAGACACCCCTAAAGTAGTCAAATTCTTAAAAACAGATAATAGAGGGCAGCCCGGGTGGCTCAGCGGTTTAGCGCCACCTTCAGCCCAGGGCCTGATCCTGGAGGCCTGGGATTGAGTTCCACGTCAGGCTCCCTGCATGGGGCCTGGTTCTCCCTCTGCCTATGTCTCTGCCTCTCTCTCTCTCTCTCTCTCTGTGTCTCTCATGAATAAATAAGTAAAATCTTTAAAAAAAAAGAAAAAAAACCAGATAATAGATTGGTGGTTGCCAGGTGCTGAACATGGAGAGCTGTCATTCAACAGAGTTCACTTCGGCAAGATGAGAAGTTCTGTAGAACTATTGCACAACAATGTGAATATACTTTACACTACTGAGTTGTACACTTAAAAATAAGATGATTATTAAAAACAACAACAACAACAACAACAAAAAGATACTGATGTCCAGGGAAGAAACACATTCCTCTCCCTTATCAAAAAGATTTCCTCCAGGGAAAGAAACAGGAAAGTGATACATCACTTAGGAGAAAGAAGAAGTCTGTAGGAATACCTCAAGCTAAAAAATTTTATGTATTTCATGCATTTTCTTATAAAGTATTACACACAGTGGTTGGTGTAGACATATTAATTAATCCTTAACATTAACTACCATTTACACTACGATTTCTATAGGAAAAAGTATTATGATTTCTAAACATCCAATTAATAAAAGTTTCAAGAACATAATCATTAGGAATGATCTACAGGAATGATAAGACATTTAAATAAAATGTGTAACTGTATAAACCATTCTTGTAACTTCTATAACTATGGAATAAAAAGTACATTACAATAAAAGTGAGCAAAATACAGAAAACATACCTTATTCCAGAAAGGCTGTCAAAGGCATGAAGATCTAATACATTAGAGAGATCAACTCTAAAAGGAAGAAATCCAGTGTTAACAATGGGAAATTCTGTGAAAAATATTCAACTAATCAAGGAAAAAAATCTAAGACTTTTGCCAAAAATGTAGACCTAAAGTTTAATCAATATATCATATTGGGAAACACATAAAAATGACAAGCAAGGAACAAAAAGCTTTTTGTCAAACTTTGTAATAGAATTTCTTCATAAAATTAAAAAAAACAGTGAACAGTATAAAGTCAAGGCAGAAAATTACTTGATCATCACTTCAATAAGCTATTTATATTTATATTTTTACTTTAAATTCTATTTTCAATCCTCTAAATTTATAAGCTTGATTTCAAATACATTTTTACGCCCCCCCAAAAAAAAATCAGTTATAGAAATGGAATTTTGCAAAGCAGCAGCTTATTACTCAAAAGATGAAATGGAGGAAGTGAAGCAAATTGAACTAGTGTGGCAATACAGTACCACCTTACCTTGGTAATGTCTGTATTTCTTTTACTTCACCTCCCCCTTCCATGATATAACAGGTAATATTTTAAGAATATGAGGAGTCAGGGAACTAATGTATAAATGTTCACTCTGACTCTAATCTACATCCTAAGAATGTGGTTTATTTCCTTCAGGCCAGAGTTGCAGAGACTGCAACATCCCAGTTAGTTCTCTATCTGAATAAATATTATTTCCATTGGAATTACTTAGAGGTAATTATGGCTTTATTAGGAAAGAATGATTCAAATCAGAGGAGAATATCCTATCACAGACAGAGCTTTACTTTTGATTTAAGTACAAAGACTAGTAAGTTCCAATTTTTACATGAGCCTGTAAAACAGCAGAGGACAGTGATCCTTAGCCTTTATAATCAAAATTTACAACGATGGAATATTTCAAGAAAGTGAGAGCAGTATGAATCTCCCAATTAGACTCCGAGAATTTGCCATTTTCTGTCACAAGGAAAAGAAAACTTAATCAAATTCAAGATTTTTAAAAATATGCCAACATGTAAGCCAAACCACCTCCTGTAACTTAGGAGTGACCAGCTCTGCCTGTTTTGCTGATTCTCAGCAGTCTGCCATATATTCATGCCTGCGGCAACAATACTGTTTGATCAGGAGTACTTATCCTGGCATGAGGCAGACATATTCCCATCTTACTAAAAGAGTAACATTCCAAAGTTCTATGTTAATAAACTATAACAACAGTTCAAATTCAGGACATTCTAGATGAAAAGAATCAGGAAAATCATCAAAGAAGTAAATGTTCCATGAAGACATTTTTAAATACCAACTTACGTAAGAGATCAAAGCCTTAACATTAAACATATTTCCATTTACACCCTGACAGTTGAGTAAATGTTTATACTGATACATGCAAATGAATGAACTTCTCCCCCAAGTTTATCACCTTTACCTTAGGAAATAGCTAGTTTAAAATGTACACCTGCCAATCATCTGGATATCGAAATTCAGGCCAACTGTATGAATACTGAAAGTCAGTTTTGAAACACACATTTCTTAAATAAACAGTTTCACTCTGACAGTGTTCTTAAGAATCTATGTCTCAAGTTTAGAAATAATTCTGCTTGATACTCAGAATCTTTTGATATTTCCAAAACACAAAGGATCAACACTAGATCTGTACCTGTTAAAATTTAGAGAATAAGCCTCCACTGAAGCTGCCTCAAAGTAGCCGCTGCCCTTGCTCCTGTGGCAGAGCTGGGATGCTAGGGGTGCCAGGGTCCATGCCTCTCTTTTCTGTACACATGGGAAAGGGCTGGAATAGGGCTGGGGGAGCTCTGCTCCCACCTGGACCAGACTGGGGCTCTCCACTGCGAGGACCACGGGGGAGTGCTAGAGCAGCGTTGGAGGGGAGGGGCAAAAAAAAAAATTTACAGAGACTATATGTGCTGCCGAAGCAAGCACATACAGAGAATAAAATAATACCAGTCTCTCACTGTATCTCACCAGATTGAAATGGAGAGGAAAACAGGAAAAGCCTAAAGTTCCAGATTAGAGTTAACATGGACCTGCCCAAAATCTAGTACCATGAAAAGTAAATTCCTTCATTCATCTAATTAAAAACTAATTCCTATGGCATGAAATATATTTAATTTCCTTCATTAGAGATAAAAATATCAGATATTTCCAGAGCAGTAATACAAAAAAATAAAAACGAAAAGATGATTACCATCAGTTTTTATGTGGTGCGGAGGGGAGGTCAGCTGCTACTCTGAGATTAGTTTTCCAAAGTTCAATGAGTCTCCTAAACAGGGGCCACCAGTCAATCCCAGATTTACAAATTGTCATACCCATCCAATAGCTAAATCCTGAACTCCAGAACCAGATTTCTGAAGACCTTCCCCAGTGGCACCTCAAATTCACTATCTACAAAACTCAACTAACCACCTTTTACCAAATCCTTGCTATCACTACCTCACCTGGAAGCTGCTCCTGCTTTAGGTAGAGAATTGCATCATATTCAATCCTTCTCCAGGACTCATTCTGCTATTAAAATCTTTCACTAAACTCCTTGTTGCCCACAGGAAAAAAAAAAAAAATCCAAAGTATATATTATGGCGTTCAAGATCTTTTGTGGAAAGTTCTCCATCTCTTCAGTCTTTTTCTCTCTGCCACATACCATGTGCTATAGTCGTTCTAAAATACTCACAGGTCCCTGGAATACAAAATCTTCCTTATGCCTCAAAAGCATCACTACTTTTTTTTTTTTTTTTTTTACTATTCTTATTCATTGGGAAAATCCTATTCATTCTTCAAGACTCAGGTCAATAATCACCTTCTCAAAATGTCCTGAATCTTCAAGAAGACCTGGGTAGTTGTTGCTTTATCTCCCGGTTCTTATAGGACCCTACACAATTAATACTGATGTTATATTAATTATATTTAATACATTGAGCTTGTTTACTTCGTCTCCCCCAAATGACTCATCACCTACTCCAAAGGCAGTTTTTGCTTTACCCATTGCTTAAACCCTCAACAAGCCAAGAAATACCTAACAACTAAGAGAAAGCCAGTAGTAGTTTGTTGAATTAATATTACTGAACAACTGGATTTTGGTTTTCCTCTGTTCAGTCCTCTGAAATATCTAAGATTAAAAAAGAGTCAGGAAGAGGTAAGAATGGCCCTTCTTGGGACCCCTGGGTGGCTCAGCGGTTAAGTGTCTGGCTTCGGCTCAGCACATGATCCCAGGATCCGGGATCCAGTCCCACATCCGGCGGGCTCCTTGCAAGGAGCCTGCTTCTCCCTCTACCTGAGTCTCCGCCTCTGTCTCTCAAGAATAAATAAATAAATGTTAAAAAAAAAAGAATGCCCCTTCTTCTGATCTTCCACTTCCCCTTCTTAAGTCTATGTGGTCCATTAGAACTTCCATTTGCTTCAAAGTCAACTTAAGTCTTACCAATAAGACTCTTATTCCTCAACTTAAATATTCAAGGCAAGCCTTTTCTACATATGCTTACAGCAGTCTTATTATTGTCAGTTTCACTATCAGTGTTTGTCAACCACAAAATGCTTGAGGCATTAAAATTTTAAAAACAAAAAACCAAACACAGTAAAACAAAACTTCCGTCATTGACCTCAACCATTATTGTTAAAAACAAGATCTCTAGTTTCTAAACTGGGAAGCTCAAGTTGCTCTGCCTCAAGGAACTGAGGGAAATAATTAATGTAAGATTCATGACCAGGGTAAGAATTCTACCATTGAGGTCTGCTCTTCACTGAAAAAGATCTTAATTCAACTTCAGTCCTCACAGCAAGGAAGTACTATTTCAGAAAGTTCCTAGATTCTCAGATACAATGGCAAACACAAGACACTGAAGATAAAGAAGAGAGGATCCGTGGGTGGCTCAGCGGTTTAGCGCTTGCCTTTGGTCCAGGGCCTGATCCTGGAGACCCGGGATGGAATCCCGTGTCGGGCTCCCTGCATGGAGCCTGCTTCTCCCTCTGCCTGTGTCTCTGCCTCTCTCTCTCTGGGTCTCTCATGAATAAATAAATTCAAACCCGGGCTGCCCTAAATACAATCTTTAAAAAAAAAAAAAAAAGAAGAAGATACAGAAGAAAAAAGGAGATTTTATTTATGTGCTCATTCATCCATTTGAAGTAACTAAATTTAATCACTTCATGTTTACTGTTCTATAATAGAGCAAACGTTAGGAATGTCATATAAACATCAAAATTGTTACACAACAATCTCTTCAAGATAAAACCTTTAGCAGGATATAAAGGTCTAAAATGAAAACCAAGAGAAAGAAAAATTAAGGAAGTTAAATCCAGGGACCTATAAAAATTGATCTGTCTATAAATATGAACCAAATAAATGCTATAACAACAGAACCACAGCCATTTAGGCATTTGGTTGGTTGTTGTTTTTTTTTTAAGATTTTTATTTATTTATTCATGAAAGACACACACACACACACAGAGGCAGAGACACAGGAGGAGGGAGAAACGGGCTCCATTCAGTGAGCCCTACGTGGGACTCGACCCTCGGACTCTAGGATCACACCCTGGGCCGAAGGCAGGCGCTAAACTGCTGAGCCACCCAGGGATCCCAGGCATATGGTTTTTAAAAAGCAATTTCAGCTTTATGTGGTTGTCTATGTGTCCCTTTGTAATGAAGAGAAAGTTTAAGGAGAAAGAAAATGGTAAAATGCGATAGAAAAAGACCAATAACTGATGAGGAATGGCTCTGGTATGAGTTAGAGATTTTCTACAATTGGAATCTGAAATGCAGGGAGCACATTTGGTGTATGCTTGTAGAAGACTTACACTAAGGGCATTCTTCTGCTACCTCTGCCAGCAGATGAGTGGCTTCTGAGAATGCATACCAAATTAATTCCCCAGCTGTTCACATGCACACAAGCAGCTGCCACTGTTACTGCCTAACACTTAGGGTAGTCTGTCAGCACCTCTAATCTCTGCCATAGCAGACAAGCCTCTCGGCTAAGACCTCTGCTGCACTTCCAAGGAAAGAATCTCTGAATTAAGGACTGGGTTGGCACTAGACTGCCAGCTGTGAGCCTCAGAGATGCGACTGCATGTTGCTGGGTCTATCAGCTGCTGAATCATTCTTATTAAAAAATGAGCTTAACGACAAATCCCCTTAAGAAAGTTTCTGAAATCATAATAGCATTCATTGGAAAACAGAATTCACAGAAATACACTTCACAGATGTTTCAAGAATATGTCTATTTTGCAAAGTAATGCACATCTGTATGAACAGAATAAAAAGACAGAAGAACCTACAGGAAATGGAAATCAAAATGTAAAAAAGGATGTGTTAGGAACTTAAAGATTGCATCTATTTTTATATAACAGATTTTTGCAACTATAGAAAAAACTAATATTTTTTTTAAATATTAGAAAGCCATTTAAGTACTTCAAGCTAAGATAAGATTCCTAATAATATACTTTTAGAGATTTCTATACTAGTTACTTTTTTGAGTGGATGAAAAGTCCTAGGTTGTCTTCCTAATGAAACAAAAGCACAGTTACCCAGTCTTACCATGGCTCTGTAGTCTTAGCTACAAGAAGAAGCAAAAGTTTATTTGGTTTATTTATTGACCAAATAAACCAAACTTATTTATTTATTTATTTATTTAAGATTGGAATTTTTTTTTAAGATTTATTTAATGAGAGAGAGAGAAAGAGAGAGAGAGAGGCAGAGGGAGAAGTAGGCTCCATGCAGGGAGTCTGACGTGGAACTCAATCCCAGGTCTCCAGGATCAGGCTCTAGACTGAAGGCGGCACTAAACGGCTGAGCCATCTGGGCTGCCCAACCAAACTAATTTATAAAGAACATTTAAAACATTTTGGGGGCCCCATTTTTTAAGAATGCACATGTATTTTTCTTATAGTAGAATCAAGTATATTTATCAATTACTTAATAATTATTATTAACTAAAATTATTTGTAAATATTCATAACGGCTTTTAAAAGTACCTTGATCTTTGTGTTTCTAAAATTTTTCCCAGTCCATTTATTGATCTGAAATAAAGATAAAAATGAGGAAGAAAGGATAAAAATTGTTAAATTTTTTAAAAATCATAAGGCATGTTATTCTAAAACAGGAAATAAGCATATACAAATATATCTGGATAAAAAATTAAAACAAATTTATATTTTTTATAACATATTTTTAAATAAAACTTATATTTTTTATAATTTATTTTTTTTCTAATCATGAAATCATGTATATTCTACTTCAGACAGGATAGGCAAAAATCCACTGCACAACTGACAAACTAGGGGCTACTCTGAATTATAAAGAGACCCTTCACTTTAGGAAAAATGATTCATGAACAGCCAGTAATTCTAATGTTTTCAAAATGAGTAGATAAATCAAGATTCTTACTGAGACTCATTTTCCACAAGCACATTGTGGAAATGGCCATACACAGCCTAGAAGTAAAAACCTAGTTGTGAGTGGCTTTGACCCCAGACGGTCCTGAGTATTCACAGTAACACTAAGTCACGCATCCAAGTTCTTTCACATAATTAGCTCTTGGTTCCCTAACGAGAGTCTCTGCCAGTCCTTCCCTTTCTGATACTACTAAGATAATGAAACAGGACTCCCTCTGTATGGCACCAAAAATACTAGCTAAATTCTTTGCCACATACTATATACCACAACTATTTATCTTTATACCAGCAATCCTACTGCCTTCAGTGCTACATGCTTCTATATGTGCCTTTCGTTGAAGCTTGGGTTCTGTGGCAAGTCTCTCCACCATTTCAAAGGTTCTTAATCTTCTCAACTGAATATACTGTATGGCCTGATGTCCACTTCTCTCAGATCTGTTCATCTTCTTCCAATTCCTCAAATCAAACACCCAGTCAGTTACAAGTCTGATGTACAATGGAGGACCCAAAGCCAAAGGGTCTGTCGTTTATCAAAGTGCTTTGTCTAAATTCTTTCCTGGGATTGCTGTACAGAGTAGCCTGGCAACAAGGTGGATAATAGTCAATACTACTGATGTTACAGACCCAGCTTAAACAGTCAATATGGCAATGGATAAGTCCAGTAGCAATAATCCTTTCTTTCATGCCAAAAATGTTTGCTACATGGATTTATGTCCTCCTTTCCAGCAATCACAATGATGTAGAAGATTTGGGAAAGAGAAACAAAATTTAGGAGACCAGTGTCAAAAGGGGTAAAAGAAGTAATCTCCATTCACTGCTTTCATCTTTCTAGGCTTTTCAAATATATCAACCATTTTTCTATTTCTTTCCTGTTTTTATTCACTGCAGCTTGAAAATACTATGTAAACCATGATAAAAAAAACTACACTTTAATAATTTTAACAGTAGCTAACAGAGCACTTACTATGTGTCAGGCACTGTGCAAAGTTTGTCAACACTGTCTCATGAACACTTAAACCAAACTTAACGAAGTACATATTATTTCCCATTTTAGAGAGGAGAATTAAAAAGAACACAGCATCACCTTAATTCCAAAACCAGACAAAGACGCCACCAAAAAGGAGAATTATAGACCAATATCCTTGATGAACACAGATACAAAAATTCTCAACAAGATACTAGCCAATAGTATCCAACAGTACATTAAGAAGATTAGGGTAGCCCAGGTGGCTCACTGGTTTAGCACTGCCTTGGGGCCAGGGCATGATCCTGGAGACCCAGGATCGAGTCCCATGTCGGGCTCCCTGCATGGAGCCTGCTTCTCCCTCTGCCTGTGTCTCTGCCTCTCTCTCTATCTCTCTGTGTCTCTCATTAATAAATAAATAAAATCTTAAAAAAAAAAAGCATTTTTTTTTTAATTTTTATTCTTTAAAAAGATTCACCATGACCAAGTGGGATTTATCCTCGGGATGCAAGGCTGGTTCAACACTTGTAAAGCCATCAATGTGATAAATCATATCAAGAAGAGAAAAAACAAGAACCATATGATCCTCTCAATAGATACAGAGAAAGAATTTGACAAAATACAGCATCCATTCCTTATCAAAACTCTTCAGAGTGTAGGGATAGAGGGAACATTCCTCAGCATCTTAAAAGCCATCTACGAAAAGCCCACAGCAAATATCATTCTCAATGGGGAAACACTGGGAGCCTTTCCCCTAAGATCAGGACCACAACAGGGACGGCCACTTTCACCACTGCTATTCAACATAGTACTAGAAATCCTAGCCTCAGCATTCAGGCAACAAAAAGGAAAAAAAGGCACTCAAATTGGCAAAGAAGTCAAACTCTCCCTCTTTGCAGATGACATGATACTGTACATAGAAAACCCAAAAGACTCCACTCCAAGATTGCTGGAACTCATACAGCAATTCCACAGTGTGGCAGGATACAAAATCAGTGCCCAGAAATCAGTGGCATTTCAATACACTAACAATGAGACTGAAGAAAGAGAAATTAAGGAGTCAATCCCATTTACAATTGCACCCAAAAGCATAAGATACCTAGGAATAAACCTAACCAAAGAGGTAAAGGATCTATACCCTAAAAACTACAGAACACTTCTGAAAGAAATTGAGGAAGACACAAAGAGATGGAAAAATATTCCATGCTCATGGAATGGAAGAATTAATATTGTGAAAGTGTCAATGCTACCCAGGGCAATTTACACATTTAATGCAATCCCTATCAAAATACCATGGACTTTCTTCAGAGAGTTGGAACAAATCATCTTAAGATTTGTGTGGAATTAGGGATCACTGGATGGCGCAGCAGTTTAGCGCCTGCCTTTGGCCCAGGGCGCGATCCTGGAGACCCGGGATCGAATCCCACATCGGGCTCCCAGTGCATGGAGTCTGCTTCTCCCTCTGCCTGTGTCTCTGCCTCTCTCTCTCTCTCTCTCTCTCTGTGACTATCATAAATAAATTAATTAATTAAAAAAAATTTGTGTGGAATCAGAAAAGACCCCGAATAGCCAGGGGAATATTATAAAAGAAAATGAGAGTCGGGGGCATCACAACGCCGGATTTCAAGCTGTACAACAAACTGTGATCATCAAGACAGTATGGTACTAGCACAAAAACGGACACATAAATCAATGGAACAGAACAGAGAATCCAGAAATGGACCCTCAACTCTATGGTCAACTAATACTCGACAAAGCAGGAAAGGCTATCCACTGGAAAAAGGACAGTCACTTCAATAAATGGTGCTGGGAAAATTGGACAGCCATGTGGAAAAGAATGAACCTAGACCATTCTCTTACACCATACACAAAGATAAACTCAAAATGGATGAAAGATCTAAATGTGAGACAAGATTCCATCAAAATCCTAGAGGAGAACACAGGCAACACCCTTTTTGAACTTGGCCACAGCAACTTCTTGCAAGATACATCTATGAAGGCAAGGGAAACAAAAGCAAAAATGAATTATTGGGATTTAATCAAGATAAAAAGCTTTCTACACAGCAAAAGAAACAGTCAACAAAACTAAAAGCCAACCTACAGAATGGGAGAAGATATTTGCAAATGACATATCAGATAAAGGGCTAGTTTCCAAGATCTAAAAAGAACTTATTAAACTCAACAGCAAAGAAACAAACAATCCAATCATGAAATGGGCAAAAGACATGAACAGAAATTTCACAGAGGAAGACATAGACATGGCTAACAAGCACAGAAGAAAATGCTCCGCATCACTTGCCATCAGGGAAATACAAATCAAAACCACAATGAGATACCACCTCACACCAGTGAGAATGGGGAAAATTAACAAGACAGGAAACAACAAATGTTGGACAGGATGTGGAGAAAGGGGAACCCTCTTGCACTGTTGGTGGGAATGTGAACTGGTACAGCCACTCTGGAAAACTGTGTGAAGGTTCCTCAAAGAGTTAAAAATAGAACTACCCTACAACCCAGCAATTGCACTGCTGGGGATTTACCCCAAAAATACAGATGCCGTGAAACGCCGGGACACCTGCACCCCAATGTTTATAGCAGCAACGTCCACAATAGCCACACTGCAGAAGGAGCCTCAGTGTCCATCAAAAGATCAATGGATAAAGAAGCTGTGGTCTATGTATACAATGGAATATTACTCAGCCATTAGAAACAACAAATATCCACCATTTGCTTCAATGTGGATGGAACTGGGGGGTATTATTATAAGTGAAATAAGTCAATCAGAGAAGGACAAACTTTATACAGTCTCATTCATTTGGGGAATATAAAAAATAGTTATAAGGGAATAAAGGGGAAAGGAGAGAAAATGAGTGGGAAATATCAGTGAGGGTGACAGAACATGAGAGACACCTAACTCTGGGAAACGAACAATGGGTAGCGTAAAGGGAGGTGGGCGGGGGGTTGGGGTGACTGGGTGACAGGCACTGAGGGGGCACTTGATGGGATGTGCACTAGGTGATATGCTGTATGTTGGCAAATTGAACTCCAATAAAAAAATAATTAAAAAAAAAAAAAGAACACAGCAAAAAACAGACAAAAAGTAGAACCCAACCAGATTCCAAAGTTCATCATCTTAAATACTATGCAGTGGGCAGCCTGGGTGGCTCAGTGGTTTAGTGCCGCCTTTAGCCGAGGGCGTGATCCTGGAGATCCAGGATCGAGTCCCATGTCGGGCTCCCTGCATGGAGCCTGCTTCTCCCTCTGCCTGTGTCTCTCATGAATAAAATAAAATCTTCCAAAGAAAAAACCAAAACCCACTATGCAGCACTACCTGCCCTCCACATGGAGACAGTATTACAGTTTTTCATAGTAAAGACTCAAAGGGTATTATTATTAAGATAAAACAAATATACAGAAAAATAGGAAATTTCCTTCTTCAATCATTAATCACTGTAGGCAATCTTCTTATAAGCCTTATCTTTACTGATTCAATTTATAACACGCTATATAAACAGAATCAAAATCTGATGTCAGCAGATTACACCCATTAGAAATGAATAATAATAAAGGCTACTGACTGTCTCTTTGAAGATGACATTTATTAACTTAGGTCTTAAAAAATAATTCAAAGTCCCTGAACTCAAATGCCATTTGAAAAGTCCAAATGACTGTTGGGTCATTTAGCACATCTGAGTGAGTACCATTCATCTTGTCCTACATTGACCAACCTTGGCCACGGACACTGAAGACATCAAACCAAAGCTGAAAGACAGGCATGTTTAGTTGACAGTCAGGGAAGACAAATCAGTGAGGGCTCAGGGAAAGGAGACCACCTGAGTCAGGGGAGACTTCACAGAGGAGTGAGGGAGGGGGCATTGGGAGAACTCTAGAGAATGGATAAAATTGCTTATGATAAACAAAAAAAGAAAGCAAAGAAAAACAGAGACAACGAAGGAATTCAAGGATTGGCGGAGTGAGAGCACGTAAGAGTAAATAAAGGATCTGGCAAGACACATTCATGGGAAAGTAAGTCACCCTGAGTAAAGTTAGAGAGCTTCCTGTAGGGAGAGAGTCAAAGAGAAGACCAGAAAAGGAGGATGGAGTCAGAAGATCCTGAATATTAGTCTATGTTCTAACTCCATTTTGTGAGAAATGGGGAATAATTCTATATATTGCCATTTACATAATAGCCAATCAGACATCAACAATAAATGATTCCCAAATGATACTTGATGCAGGTCAACCTTGAACTTAAGTTTCTACAGGATAATATACTAGTATTTTGTATAGTACACTTTGGATCTGTAGGTAATTAACACTTAAAATTTCATACCTAATGGCTGCTCTTAATTTGCTTAAATCCTCTTCTGAAACCAAGTCTGTTTTATTAATGATGATGATATCTGCCAAAGCGACTTGCCTAAATTAGCAAACAAAGAACAGATGTCAAGAGAAATGTTAAGAAATTAAAAATAGCAACACCTCCTTCAGATCAAATAGCATTAAGAACTATATAGTACTCTATACAGTAAGTGAATTTACTATTTATTATGCTTCAAACAGTAAGAATAAATTGCATCTATCACTATTAAATTCAGATTTCACATGTATTCATTCAAAAGATATTTCCGAAGTGCTCTCACTTGTTACTCTGAAACTACAAAGTATTCCCAAATGTTTACAATCAAGGATTATTTTCAACTCATAATTTTGTAAAGAAATGCAAAAAAGTCAGATATTCAATATGGTCAAACATGGATAGTCTACTGATTAAAATATTCCATGTTATTACCTAGAATTTTCAAGGAAATAAAACAAATTAACATGAACACCAAACCATTTTTTTAAAACTACACTTCAGAAGATACATCAAGATCTTGGACAAATGTCTTTTTCATCACTATAAATATGTATTTTCTCTGTAAAATAGATACACATTCAAGTTAAAGAATCCCATTGACAGAATGCTAGATAACAAAATAGCTTACTATAAATAGAAGTTCTTTTTCTATTAACAGAAGTAGAGAACTGAGATTCTTTAAATTTTCCTCAATTCTTCAGGAAATTTTAATCACTAGGCTATTTATCCCTAATTCTAGTTTTATGCTACTTGAAGATATCATCATTTGTTTCAAGAACATACCCAAATTCTCAAAAATAAATGAACTTTAATTCATTGAAAAACCAAGTATTGAAGTATATACCAAGTATTGTAGTATATACATCACAATCCCATTTTTGTTTAAGTGTTCTATGAATAAAGATTTAATGTGGACATCTCAAAATATAAAGAGTTGCTATATTTAAATCGGAGGACTTCTATGTTTTACTTTATTTTGGCTTTTTTAAAAAGGTTTATTTAGTTGAAAGAGAGAGCACAAGTGGAGGGAAGGGGCAGAGGGAAAAGGAGAGAAGCAGACTCCCTGCTGAGCACAGAGCCCAACACAGGCTAGATCTCTCATACCCTAAGACCTTTACCTGAGCTGAAATCAAGTCACTTAAACTGAATGAGCCACCCAGGTGCCTCATCTTCATTGTGGCTTTTATGACACTTCACTATTTTCTATTTGGCTTATTTATTTACATTACATTTTCTATAATGAATATATTTTAATAAATAAACTTACAAAAATGTTTAAGTAATAATTTAATTCAGATTAAACTGAATTATACCTATATACCCAATGCAGTGTTCAGGCAGGATTACAGCACCACAGAGCACCACACTCCAAAATGAGAGGGAGCCAACTACTTGCTGGCAATCTATTATTAATGTTTGGATCATCCTTAGCAAACGTCAAAGAGCCTCCCCCCTTCACCCCAGCAGCAGACTTAGCAACTGTGCTGTATGGCAAAGCTTTTTCCTCCATTAGCAAGAATGCTTAGGGTAGGCACACTAAGTTAAATATTTCTAAGCCTAAAGACAACCCAATTAGGAACATAAAGGTATCTAAACAAAAAAATGTTCTAAATGCAAATTAAAACTATTTCCATATTTGTCCCTCTGTTGTTCTAAATAACAGTGAATATGTGAATCAAATGAATTACTGTTGAAGAAGGCAGTAAACGAACCAATTCTTTTCTTTATAATCCTCTTCAATCCCAATGAAATTACATAAGAACAAAAAATTAGTTTTAAATATTCCACTGTTCCTAAGCTCCTCTCAGAGAACTGCTGTGCCCAACACTCATTTTATGCTATATAGTAAAAGTTTTAAATAAAATTTAGTCATCAGACCATTATAAACAGCAATAGTTCAATTACCGGGGGAAAAAAGATAACAAATTTTCCTTTACTATGTTTTTGTATTTCTCACTTTGGTTTGGGTGTTCATAATAATTTCTTCTTTCCAATTCGCTAGTAATCAATATATACTTTATTTTTTTTTAATACTTTATTTATGTGACAAAGAGAGAATGAGATAGAGTACAAGCAGGGGCAGAGGTAGACGGAGAAGCAAGTAGCCCAACGTGGTGATTGATCCAGGACCCAGGGATCATGGTATGCTGAACCACCCACACAGGTGCCCCCAGTAAGCAGTATGTACTTTAAATATGAATACCTGGAAGCTTCATTGATAAGGCCATCAGGTTTTTCTTCTTCTAAATGCTAAACAAAAAACAAAGTTTGAAAAAAGTTACTGTGGGAAAACATAAATGTTAATATCAACACAATGAATTTTACTTTGGAGACTCCTTTCTTGCTTCTAATATAGATTTCAACAAGTTCTATCACTGAGCATGCAAATGCAGAACTAATTTTTCTAACTTAAAGCATTTTAATCCCCATTTGTAATTGTTTTCCTATAGTGAACCTGTTGGGTTTTTGAGAGGAGGGGGGGAAGGACTGAAATTGTTCCCCTGCTATCTCCTTTTTCTTAAAAGGAAAACCTCTAGATTTAAATAATGTCAATAAAAACAAAAAGCAATAGGCTTTTGTCAAAGTATAGGCCTTTTTCTTTTCTCAAAACTGTTTTTCTTCTAAATATTCATTATTTTATTTTATTTTTTTAAAAAAGAGATAACCACTAAAATTAGACTTCCTTAAAATCTAATACACTTCTGTCCATTCCAGTCCCACATCCCACTTCTCATCCTAGCATCACATACAATATGGATTCAGTGCTGAGCCCTTCATATGCCCTCGAAACAAGGGAAGGCCACAGCCCCAATCCTAGCCTAAGAGCAGTTTATCACTTAGAGAAACCCACACTTTAGTGACATGGCCTCTCAGGGCAACTGTTGACTTTGCTGACCCTCTCCAGAGGTCAAAAAAATACTACTAGCTCCAAAAAAATACTATGACACTAATTTAGGGGCCTACAAGGAAGCTTTTATCTCTCCAGAAGCAGTTATTATTTGTCCACAATCCTATTTAAATTCCTAAAGGCATCAATGCCATAAGGCTCATCTCCGCAAAATGTTTCACCTTCATTACTTCAACCCTCACAATAAAAAGCTGTTTACTGAGGTTAGAGACAATTTGATTATATTAACATTCTTTGTATTTGAAATCAAACTTCATAAATTCTTAAATCCTTTTACAGACATTAATTCATTTAGCCTTCATAATAATTCAAGGAAATAGCTATTCTCATTTTACAAAAGAAGAAACTAAATCTAATACTGTCACTGTCACAGGATACCCTATGATAGGGGAATTTTCCAAAAACTGAAAACAAGCTCAATTGAAGTAAAATGACCATTATTTTAAAAACTTATGAATGAAAGCTTTTTATGTCATATAAAATCAGTCTTGTATACAGATGTTACATAAATGTTAACAATCATGTAAGAGTATACTCATAGAGATTACCTAAAAATTACAAATTATATTTTTATTATTAGAGTATTGTATCAAAAACTGTTCCTTGCCAAAAGACAAAGTTTACTATTTTTACTAGTTATTCTTGACCTGAGGCTACTGTAAACCCTATTATTAATGTCCTATAGAGAATAAGGGCTCTCACCATTCTGGAAATAATAACTGGCACAGGCTAAAAAAATATTTGTTGAATGAACTATAGTTAACACACCTATTTGTTGACAAAGATAAGTGGATGTTATTTGAAATATTCTATTTGATGTGCAGCAACAAATCCCTTTCTATTCAGTGGTGTATATTTAACAAAGATGTATTTTTCATAAGCTATCTGTTCCTGAAAGATCCTGGAATATACTAGTTCTTTCAAAAATTTGGAATATTTTTCAAAGTACTACATTGTTGACCTTTTGGAAGCTTTATTTACATATGAATTTGGGGCTCTCTGGCTGTGAGTTAGTGGGTTATAAAAAAAGATATGGCAAGAAAATAAGAGATTTTGGTTTTTCATTTCCATACCTAAATAGAACTAATAGTTTCACAAGTAATCCATGTTTTATTTTTAATGCATTTACTTCTCCAGAAGATTAGAAATCTACACTCAAAAGTTAACTTGGAAAAACCAATATTTTACTATCTTCAGGAAGTCAAGAAGCATCAAAAATAAAAACAAGTTAAAATACCCAAAATAAAAATAGGCCAATATGTACAATCTATTACAGATAAGACATGTTATAATCATACATAATTATAGAAAAAGAGATAAAAAGCCCTGTTCTATGCATATATGGTTATTATGGAAACATAAATAATAAATGCACATTAACATTTATTTTATCATATAAATATTTACCAACATTTATTTCCCTTATGTAACTTCCTACTTCCCCAAGTCAAACTGCAAAAAAGACTAAAACCACTGTTTCTCAAGAGGACATTCTCCAGTATCAATGATTCAGTCGGATAACTTCCATTTATGTTAAAAAATGGGAATTCTGGTATTCTATTCTACTTGTACAGGCAAGGAAGGAAAATATTTGCAATCCCCCCCCCCCCAAATTTTAGAGTGCATATGTGTGAATACACACGCACACACACGCCCAAAGGATTCCTTATCTCTGCTGAGAAACTATGGCTTTTGCTTATATATTAGGAAAGAGAAAAAAGATTTTGGTACTAATTAATCCAACACATCCAAAGAGTCAATATTCAACCCTCCAAGTCAGCACACAGTAAGAGTGTAAGATTTCTTTCTCTCTTACTGTGAAAGAAACCCTTTGAAATAACACCAAGGTAGACATGACTTCAAGAATGGCTACTGGGTGTCCTTTTCTGCAGAACAGAAACAAGGTGGATGGGAAAGAAGAGAGAAAGATGGGGGAAACATTGTTGTTGACCAAACTGGAAAGAAATCTAGTGTCAAAGATGTCAGACTACATTTTAAAAAAGCAGCAGTAAGCAGCTCTCTCTTTCTAAAGGATTGGATTATAGATCTGATGCTATTTCAGCTGCTAGAAAATGATTATTGCATAATGTCAGTCTATTTATTTTTCTAGTCTTTTCCAAGCCAAACTGTTTTCTGACTGAATTGTTTCAACAGCTAGTGCAATATAACAGAAGAGCCAAAAAGAAACCTCTCGCTTGACCTTTCCTGTGTAACTTCATCCATTGATTCTATTGCATTAAATGCTGTCACGTTTGTAGAACTGAAAAGAACAATGTTGGTAGCCTGGGTGTCAAGTCCTGAGAATAGAGAGCTGTCATTTGAAGTTGTCCAATTCTTTGCCCGTGATTAAAAAATGAATATTTCAGATCAATGGGTGACAATCCCATTAGAGTGATAGCCCATGATATCAATTACCATTTCAGTTTCAATTTGGCTGCCTGGCCACAGGGTACCATTTCTCAGCTTTACTTGTGATGGGCTGGCTCTGTGAAGCATGACACCCTTAAATTGCTGCCCATTATCCAAGTGTCATTACTTGTACTGCCTCAGAATTCTCTGAATCACAAGCAGCTACTGAGGTCAAGCTTTGCATCCAGAGGAATTGGACAAGTGGGCAAATTCTTTATATAAAAGAAAAGTTATTTATCTGGCATCTGACTTAGAAAATCTAAAGTTTCCATTATCCTGACAGTATGTCAGTTTTGTGTAGGTATATTGATTTAATAATTTAAGAGGTTTTATCAAGGTGGCAGAAGGTTAAACGTTTACTGTGTTTGCATTATTCAGAATGTTGCTTTGTTTATATGGCCTCAATTACACTGGCAATAGATTCTATTTAACTCCTCTGCACATCTAAATATACATATAAAATTATTCCTGTAATCATAAATACATAAAGAGTTTAACTCTCAATAACTCTCAATACTTTAAGTCTATCAAAAGAACAAAAAACTTATCTCCTGTAGGCATCTCAAATTTGATAATAAATATACATAAGAGATTCATTCAAATATGCCTACAATAAACATTCAGAGTGAAGAATTTGATGTATTTTGCTTCCCCCATAAACATTTTGTTAGAAATAAAACGATTTTAGAACAGTCGGAATTTTTCTGAGTAAAACTGTAATATTTGGAATCTTTCTTTGATTCCTAAAATGATTAATAAATTTGGACTTAAAATCTACAAAGAAATTATTTCCCAAACATCTCAAATTAGCCTGCTCTATTCCTAAAGGAGCCAAAGGGCCAGTGAAGGGATACTGGTACCCATTTAACAAGCCTGTCATATAACCCCGAGAGAATTTTATTGAAGGTTTGGAAGAAAAACTTTTTTTCTAAGATTTTATTTTTTTAGGCAATCTCTATACCCAACATGAGGCTTGAACTCACAACCCCGTGATCAAGAGTCACACAACTCCATGGACTGAAGTCACACAACTCCATTTCCTAGAAAGGATTACTTAGGGTGCTATCCACATTCCAGACTGGGACCAGGAGATGGAAGATAATTTCATTCTCTTTTCCCTAGTAATATTTCACTTGGAAAGTTGAGAATTACTGTTTTATTTTATGCACTAGTATGTTTTTAAAAATCTTACTAGGGCAGCCTGGGTGGCTCAGTGGTTTAGCGCCGCCTTCAGCCCAGGGCATGATCCTGGAGACCCAGGATCGAGTCCCACATCAGGCTCCCTGCATGGAGCCTGCTTCTCCCTCTCCCTCTGCCTGTGTCACTGCCTCTCTTTCTCTCTGTGTCTCTCATGAATAAATAAATAAATCTTAAAAAAATAAAATAAAAATCTTACTAGGTACATTTTATGAACTGAAGTCTCTTTAAATGCATTTGAGAGCTTGATAGTTATGAAAACATTCACAGGAGGATGACTTTTAAAGGAGAGTTTCTCCTCATTACACCTATGTATAAATCTTGATTTCTTCAAAATAAGGTAAAGCAATTATATTTTTAAATGCAATTATTTCTGATAGCAGTTTAACAAGAAAAAAAAGTTCTGTTTTATCAAGCTCACTTTTTTCCATCAACTAGAAAAACCCATCAACATTGGGGTTGAATCCCAGTGAGGAGTTACACATACCCAAACTGTACCCTTTAATACAGTCATTATAAAATATTACACTTCCAATTTCTATCATATCAAACCAGGGTAACAGAAAATAATTTTAAAATGCAATAATTAAAAGACACACAAATTTCATCTACCGTTCAGGATATTTAAAAAAAAGTTTTTTGTTAAAATATCCAAACAAAAATGTAGAAAAAAATAAGATAATCAATCCACATTCCTAGCTTTAACAAATAATTAGCAATGCACAGCAATCTTTCAACTTACTTTTAATCCATATTTTGAATCCACAACAGTTATGATACCTACAAAGGAATACATCTTTTAATCACCTTTATACTTGAGAATGAAAATCACAACTAACCTATTTCAGTTGCCAAATGTTACTCAATAAAGTATTGGTTTTTCTCTTGACAAAGATGCAATTTAATTCAATTCCACCAATAAGTAGTAAACACATTTCAAATGTGTACTGAATGCTTAGCACCATGTTAAGGCATTTTAGAGATTATAATATTTTTTAAATTAAATAAAGAAGAAAATAAGATTTCTTTGGCCTTTAAAAAGCTCACATTCCAAAATATGATGAGACAAATTCCATAATATAAAGTGGAATGTGATAAATTACACAAGATAGGTTCTTTTTCCCCCAGTTTATATTCACATAATCAAAATCAAGACTTTTCTAAACATTTAAATTATTGCTTAACAAATCTGAGATGTCTTAAGAGATCTTATTCTCAGTACTTTGCATTGAATCTCCCACTAATATTTTCCATAACATGTACCTAAGTTTCCAAAAGGTCAATTTGTTTGGCAATCTCTGAATTTATAAGCTCAATAATTTTTTCAAATGGTAACAGCAGAATGAGTTTGACGATATCTAGGGAATTCAAACAACTACATGCTACACATATTAGCACCAAATGACCGGGCACAGTTTTAAATTTCACTCTTTAGTCTAAGGAAGACCTGGTTTAAAGAAAGGTAAAGGATGAGAGGGGCATAGTTAACTTCATTCACAAAGTTTCTAATATATCTTAAATGAAGTCTATGAATAAAATTGTCCAAAAGTGTTACAGCAAATAAAGTAAGGGGTGAGGGCTTTGCTTAATTCTTATCTTCAAGGGAAAAATGAAATGTAGAAATATGATCCTCATACTGTACATCTGCTAATATACTAAGTACATAAATTAAACAGAGGATAAAAGAAACCCACATCAGGGACACCTGGGTGGCTCAGTGGCTGAGCATCTGCCTTTGGCTCAGGGCTTGATCCTGGGATCCAGGATCCAGTTCCACCATCAGGCTCCCCGCAGGGAGACAGCTTCTCCTTCTCCCTCTGCTTATGTCTCTGCTTCTCTCTGTGTCTCTCATGAATAAATAAATAAATCTTAAAAAAAAACAAAAAACCCTACATCGTATTTTTTTTCCTACATTGTATTTTAAAAGGAAAATCTTAGTGAAAGCACTAATTGGGAGGTGACATTAAGATCCAGCATCTAGTTCTACCATTGTCTGAGGCTTTGTAATCTGTTATAAACAAAGTCTCACTTCATTATCAAACTAAACAAATTTAAAAGAAGTAACAATGCGAGGATTAAAATGTGAATGAAAAAAATCTTAACTATAACACTGTACTTGAAAACAAAAATATTTGCTTTTTCACTTACCATCAAGATAAATATCAACCCCTAATTCAGCATCAACCCAAAACATAGAAGCTACAGCACCTGAAAAATATATATAATATTCATCAAATAAAAATATTTCTTTAAACTGAGGGAAAAAAAAACTGAGAAACATAATTCTGTCCATGCTGTTTTAATTTGTCCTTACAGAATTAGCAGGTGAACACATATACGAATTAAGTATGGCTTTCCAAACTTCTTTATGGAAATTACAATGATTGACAATTCCTTTACTCTTTATACTCATTTCTTCCTTTCTCCCTTTTCCTCAAAAAAAAAAAAAAAAAAAAAAAGGAGGAAGGAAGGAAAACAGATCAACTCTTATCACATACAAACCCAATACCAAGCTTCTATCAGTGCCATAATAATCTACCAACAGATATTACCAAATAATCTGGGTATTATATGTGCATATAGGACTTATTTTTATTTTTTCTCTCTCAAATTTAATAATCATACAGCTCACAAATAATGAATTATCTCTCTAAAGGAAAGCAAACCACAACATAGATAATTCTGAAGTCATTTGACAAAAAAAGAGAAAAGCTTTTAAGTTTTATAGAAAAAAAAGGAAGAGAAAGAGAAGGTAAAATTATATAATCTACAGCATTACTAATAAAACCTCACACAATTCAATACTGATATAAAATTTGAGTCTGAGGAAAAATAATTTCTAAGTAAGAAGTTAAACCTTGTTTTTGACAGAAATTGGTTTGGTGGCAAACCAGAAGCCCTGATCAGTATGCTCTACACAAGAGAAAGAAAACTGGCAGTGAAGAAAGTATTTGATTTTTCAAAGCATCACACGTCCAGTTAGTGACAGGGCTGTCTAAAAGAATGAGGACTAGGGAAAAACAAGGATAACTGAACTCATTCCAGTGTCTGAAGCCGTCCACCTACCCTGAAGAGATGTGGTCCCCCAAGCATCACTCTGTGTCAACAGTGAGAAATACCTGTCAGCTGTTTACAGTGATTACTCATGCAAGATATAGCAAGGGCCACAAGATCTAATGGTTTCCTGATACCTATTGATTTTTTCCCAAAAACTTAATAGTTTTCCAATTTGACTGAAATAGGATTTGTGAGTAACAGGGGCGAATCAATGCCTGTTCTTTTCAAGGAAATTACTTTACCATGACAATTATTTAGCTTAGAACTGGAGAGTGTCAGTCTCCTAAACAGGAAACAACTGAATTGCCAATAAGAATTTTCTTCACTTACTTGGCTAACAACATGATTTTAATTAATGGGGGAGAAAAACATAAATCTACACTATCATTACTCCAAACAAGAAGTCATTTAAAAAAAAGGTCTTAATTTTTTTCACGCAGTAAAATTCCACATTGTTCATAAACATTTTTTTTTTAACTCATGGATTACTATTCAGATAGCTTGTAAGTCCTACAGTTAACATTCGTGTAGTATTAAGTTGAACTGCAAGAGTGTATGAGGGTTTTTTTTTTCTTTTGAGGTGCATCTTTGGTAATACTTACCAAGCTACCCAAGAAAGAACTGTTTAAAATTTAGATGCAGGTGTTTAGCAAGAGGAGTAAAGATGAAAGAATAAGTTAATCAGTAGTTCCAAACCCAGGGTGATTTTTCTCCCCAGGGAATATCTGGCAATGCCTGAAGATATATATTTTTTTTTAAAGATTCCATTCATCCATTCATGAAAGACAGAGAGAGACAGAGAGAGAGAGAGAGAGAGAGGCAGAGACACAGGCAGAGGGAGAAGCAGGCTCCACGCAGGTGGGACTCGATCCTGGGTCTCCAGTATCATGTCCCAGGCCGAAGGCAGGCGCTAAACCGCTGAGCCACCTGGACTGCCCATTCCACAATGCAAACAACAACAATAACCACAAAAACAAACAAAAACATCTACAATCCACAAGTCAATCCCCTATGAAAAGGAACTATCGAACCCAAAATGTCATTTGTGTCAAGGTTAAGAAACCTTGAGCTAGATTATAAAATCTCCCTATTCAAAACTGATTAAACTAAAAATTTAAATAAAAATTTAAAAGCCAAATGTTATCAGCAACAACCAAATATACAACCTCTTGTAACAAATTTTGAAGAGTGATAGTCTCAATAAGAAACAGAAAGTCCTATGTGACTTCTGATAATTCTTAATTCTACCTCCACAAAGAAGTGGCTGTGGGGAGAGTTAATAAAATCCAAATACTTATCAGAAACAGCTTTCAAAAGAAGAGGAACTAAGCAAGGAATAAGTAATATGGGGAAAAGTCAAGCAAGGGTAAAAGTTTCTAACCATTTCCACATTTTTGGAGGAGGGGTCACTTCCTAGGGCTCAGAGCAAAATGAACTCAAGGGTTTGAAGCTCAAGGATGTATCCACACAAGGTATGGAATTCATGAGTAGTTAGAGGAAAATCAGAAGGGGAACAGTTGGTACTTTAAGGAAGCAGAGCCTAAAAGTCAGATAGCCCATCTGGCTTCTCAGTTACCCTGCTTCTTTGTGTCCCTTCTCCTGCTCCCTGCAATATTCAGCATTCAAATTGAGGCCCAAGAGAAAAATAAGTTTAGGTAAGATGGGTACAATATTAAAAATAATTCATCAACACCATATATAAGTAGGCCGATGTTCTCTGAGCCTCCTACATCAAGCACCAACATGCTGAAAAAACAATGCACCTATATAACAACTTAGAAGAAACAAAAAAGATAAAGGGAAAAAGTTGAAGAAATGAATAAGGCATATAAATGGCAAAGAACTCATTCTGGAAGGAAACAACCCAGGAAGCAAAAGAAAATTCTCAAAGGCCAATTCATAATAAAGAACTTAAAAACAAAACAATCAATTAAAAACAAACTCTAAGGGGCAAGATAAAGCAGAATAATATGAAATGGTAGTTTGTGCTAAAGAAATAAACATACAGCCAACAAACATATCATTACTTAACAAATTCTTTTAAAATATCAAGAACAGAACAGAAACTGGTAAAAACCAAATTTCTGACAAAGAGGACCAATCTGAGATGATTAAAGTAAATGCAGAAGCAAAAGACAAAACAAGTAGAAGACAGAAGGTATGGAGAACAAGATAATATTCAATAGGAAAACTGGTACCATAAAATATAGGACCCAATAATTGGACAAAAAAATCTTCATGGTAATAAATAAGGAAAATGTCCCTCAATGAAGAAACCTACAGATTAAAGAGCACAGTGTAAAGAAAAAAATAATTATGAGTGACACATAGATGTACCTTGGTTATATTACTGACCTCCTAATATAAAGGAAAAAATTGTCAGGCATTTTGGATGACAAAGCAGGTCACTTTTAAGAAGGCAGAAAAAAAATCAGACTTTTCTACAGTAGCATTCCTTGCCCCAATATAATAATGACCACAAAATTCTAATACAAGTGTTCCCTAAGGATATCACCTCCTGCCGAGTTGTTTTTCAACAATGAAAACATCAGGTAGACATACTCAAAGCATTAGAGGAAACAACAGCATTAAAGCTCAAAAAATATATCACTCACATATCCTTCCTAATGAATAAAAAAGGAAATCCTGCCAATCAAAAAATACAAAATCAAGGAGCAATATTTTCCATGTTCTTAGAGAAGGAACCTGTGATCTGGAAATTTTATACCTAGTCATCCTTCAAGTATAAAAACAAAAGACAAGCATTCTCAAGCAAGTATGCAAGAACACAAGCAACAGGGGTGCCTGGTTGGTGCCTGGGTGCTTATCTGTCCAACTCTGGGCTTCAGCTCAGGTTGTGATCTCAGGGTCATGACACTGAGCCCCATGTCACGCTCTGTGCTCGGCAAGGAGTCTGCTTGGAATCTTCTCTCCCTCTCCCTCTGGCCCTGCTCCTGACTCTGTCTCTCTCTCAATGAATAAATTTTTTAAAAACATTTTATTTATTTATGAGAGACACAGAGAGAGAGGCAGAGACACAGGCAGAGGGAGAAGCAGGGTCCCAATGCGGGACTCAATCCTGTGACTCCAGGATCACACCCTGAGCCAAAGGCAGATGCTCAACCACTGAACCACCCAGGCGTCCCTCAAATGAATAAATCTTTTAAAAAATTAAAAAGAACTCAAGGAACATGCCACCTATAGCTTGAAGCAATTACCTAACCCTGAAATAGACTCAATCAAGAGATTTGTCAACTCAGGAATGGAGAAGCCACAGTACTGAGGTAATGAGGACTAAAACGGTTTAAAACAGAACTAAACAAAGTGTGAGAGAATATAGATGTTAGAAATCTTGACAACAGGGGTGCCTGGGTAGCTCAGTTGGTTAAGCATCTGCATTCAGCTCAGGTCATGATCCTGGGGTCCTGGGACTGAGCCCTACATCCAGCACCCCGTTCAGTGGGGGTGTCTGCTTTTCCCTCTCCTCCCCACTCATGTTATCTCTTGCTACCTCTCTCTCAAATAAAAAAATAAATTCCTTTAAAAAAAAATCTTAACAACACAGCATAGAATAAATCCACCAAAACCAGGAGATGGGAATAAGCACAAGTATTCATCCTTCCTTTATCAGGGTCCTTTATATCAGGGAGTCAAGAAATACTCTGAACTGACACATAGAATTCAAAAAACAACTTGTCCCATTTGTTTATGTTCTTTATAAACCTTTTTTCCCCTTAACTCATATCCCTTCCGGTGAAAAGCATTTTTCTGATATTCAGGGTTCCTTCATTTCTCTCAAGCTCTCTTTTTTCAATTACATACTTTTTTTTTTTTGCTTTTGCCTACCTTTTATTGAGCAATTTATTAGATAGTTCATTCTAGTGATATTAACAGTTGATTTGTGAAGTACCTAATATGTGTTGGCTATCATTAGGTGGTTCACATATACAAAAGACATTTTTTTAAGGATTTTATTTTATTGAATCATAATAGAGAGAGGGGGGGGGGCACAGGCATAGGCAGAGGGAGAAGCAGGCTCCATGCAGGGAACCCAACATGGGATTCCATCCTGAGTCTCCAGGATCAGACCCTGGGCTGAAGGCGGTGCTAAACTGCTGAGCCACCCGGGCTGTCCACAAAAGACATTTTTA